CATGGCCAATCCGTCTAGCATGCACATCTCTGGAAACCCACGCAGACACGGAAAATGTGCAAACTCCACACAGACAGTCACCTGAGGGTGGAATCGAACCTGGGTCCCTGGCGATGTGAGGCAGCAGTGCTATCCACTGAGCCACCATGCCACCCATCTGGATGGGTACATGAATAGGAAGGGTTCAGAGGGATATGGGCCAAATACTGGCAAATGGGACTAGGTCAGATTGGGATGTCTGGTAAGCGCGGAGGAGCTGGAGCGAAGGGTTTGTTTCTGTGCTGTATGACTCTTTGATAGTGGTCGTGGGCTTGGAAGGTGCTCTGTAAGGAGCCTTGCTGCGTTGCTTCAGAGTTTCTCGAGGCTTTTTTACTGTAATTTGCTATGAATCAATTATCCAAATGGTGCATTCAACACAGAGCAGCTGGGATTTGAATAATAAAAACAGAATTTGCTGGAAAAGTTCAGCAGGTCTGGCAGCATCTGTGAAGAAAAATACTGTACATTTTGGAAAGGAATTTGAAGTTTGTTAAAGTGGGATGGGTAGACTAGAAACGATTTTGAATCTTTAGTGTTTAGTGGGGTCCCCTTTTCAGCTGGACCATTTTTGTTTTGTGGCTTGAGTTAATATTGGATGCATCAATGCAGTAGCCACCCCTATCCAATAAGCTGCTCATCAATCAAAATCATAGAATCCCTACAGTGCGGAAAGAGGCCATTTGGTCCCTTCGCATCTGCACCAACACTCCGAAGAGCATCCCACCCAGACCCAGGCCCCCACCCTATCCTCATAACCCTGTATTTCCTATCTCGCTTGCACACCCCTGAACACTATGGAGTATTTTGATAATCTTCAAACATAGAACACGACAGCACAGTACAGGCTCTTCGGCCTGCGATGTTGTGCCGACCTATTATCCTAATCTAAGATCAAACTACCCTGCGTACCCTACATTTTACTATCCTCCATGTGCCTATCCAAGAGTTGCTTAAAAGTCTCTAAAGTATCTGACTCCTCTACCACTGCCGGCAGCGCATTCCACACACCCCCCACTCTGTGTGTGAAGAACCTACCTCTGACATCTCCCCTATACCTTCCTCCAATCGCCTTAAAGTTATGCCCCTCGTAATAGTCATTTCCGCCCTGGGAAAAAGTCTCTGACTATACACTCTATCTATGCCTCTCATCATCTTGTACACTTAGATATGTGGCGACTTATAAACTTTCACTGTGAGTGCGTGTGACAATAAAACTAATTCAATTCAATTCAGTCTGGCCAATCCACCTAACCTGCACATCTTTGGACTGTGGGAGGAAACCGGAGCACCCGGAGGAAACCCATGCAGACACAGGGAGAATGTGCAAACTCCACACAGACAGTCGCCCGAAGGTGGGATCAAACTCGGCTGTGAAGAAACAGTGTGAACCACTGTGCTGTCCCTATGTACAAACATAATTTGTGAATGTGTGCTGAAATGTACGATGCTTTTATTTGCAATTACAACATCCTACCCCTGAGTTGCTCCAAGATATCAATGGTAATAGGAAGTGTCGATAAATTACATTTAAAACCACCATGTAAAACTTTGCTGCCTGTGAACAGGTTCAGCTCTGAAGCAATTCCTGTCCATAAGTGAATGTACTTTTTCCTGACAATTCAATTGTAAAGGAACAAATAAAATTGAATGCTCGTAGATGACAATAATGCCAGTGCATGGCTTTTGTTTCAGGATACTGTTCCATTTGGTGATGCTGTCATTGAGACGAAGGAGACCTGCCTGGGCAGTGAAATCTGTGAGGAGCTCTGGGTTCCCAACAGGTACAAACATTCATCCTGTTTCTTTCTGGATCTCATCAGCGTGGAGACCTTGTGGGATTTTGGAGCTATTTACCTGGGAGCCAAAGTAGATCAGTGAGCTCAGGGCAATGGGTGAAAGGGTATTGGTGTGAGTAATGACGCAGGTAGTAGAGTTTTGGATGACCTTAAATTTGTGGAGAGTAGGTTGTGGGAGGTCAGCCAGTAATTTGTTGCAAGAGTCAAGTCTAAAGATAAAAAAAGGCACGATAGGAGGCTTCAGTTATTGAAGAGCTGAGACAGTCAATTTTACAGAATCAGAAAAAACTAACTTTGAAATAGTCAAACAGAAATAACGTGCAGAGACCTTGACTTCTTATTACTGGAGTAAGTGACCTCCAGAGTTTGAGGACGTAGAGTTGTACACTGACAATCATTTAGCTTAAACATAACAAATCATCTGACATTTTGCAGTGTCGCCATTGCTCCTGCATTTATAAAATATCAGAGGATTGTAAAAGTTCAGATTAAGTATTTAATATTTATGATTTTTGCTTGTCACCATTGGTTGTTTTTAAAAGTATATTCTTCAAACAGTAAACTCTGATGACTTTGGAAGATGTTGCATGAGTGATCACTGTGTTGTTTCAGACTGCTTGCACTGTTGCTCATCCCTGGGGGAGATTTACTGCTACCATTCTCTTGGGGCAGGGATGGCCATGGCCTCGTGGTATTATCGCTAACTATTAATCCAGAGATCTAGATAACTTTTCTGGGATGGGTTTGAATGCCCCCATGGCAGATCGTAGAACAAAAATCTGAAATTAAAAGTCCAATGATGTCCACAAAACCAATATTGATTGTTGGAAAAGCTCTTCTGGTTCACTGATGTCCTGTGAGGAAGGAAACTGCTGTCCTTGCCTGGTCTGACCTTACATGAGATTCCAGACCCACAGCAGTGTGGGTGACTTTCAAATGCCCTCTCAGGAGTTGGGGGGCATTGAGGTGATGTATTGATGGATGGACAGTTAGGAATAAATCAGGAAGAAAGTTGGTGGCATTTCATTACTTTCAGCTGTTAATTATTCATTGGTATCATGATGGTCCCACTCCATCCTTAAGATGAATTACTTCTTTGAATATCAGTTTCTTTAGTATTTAAAAAAGAAATGACAACCTAAACTCCTGTTTGATTTTAAGGCCTGCTTTGTGTTTGTTCACATTAAGTCACTGAAGGGCGTTGGAAAGACTCTCTGTGATTTCTTGGGTTATTGTTTTGACATCAATAATGTGTACATCCTCAACTTTGCGTGACAGCTGTGATGTGCAACTATTGGTAAATGCCTTGCATTGAAATAATTGGAGATCGTTTTGAGCAAGTGCCAACATGATTAAAGAGTTATGACTGATTCAGCGTAAAATGCAGCACTTTTTTAGATACAGTGACCAACTGATATGGTGGGAGTCAGTTAGCTCAATTGGTTGGATGGCTGGTTTGCCATGCAGGGTGATGCCAGCAGCATGGGTTCGATTCCTGCACGAGCTGAAGTTAGGATGAAGGACTCCTGCTCAACCAACAAAACAAAGGAACTGCCGATGCTGGAAATAAGAAACAAAAACTGAAATTGCAGGAAAAGCTCACAGGTCTGGGAATATCTGTGGAGAGAAATCAGAGTTAATGTTTCAGGTCTGAGGAAGGTTCACTGGACCTGATGAACTTTTCCAATAATTTCTGTTTTTGTCTCCTTCTCGGCCTCTCCCCTTGCCTATGTACCCCCAGGTTAACCACCATCAGATATTGCTCTTCAGTGAGAGACAAGGGCAACTTTACCTTTAACAATAACAGTGAGCACATTACTAAATCCTGAGAATAGAGCATCTGATTAAGATTGTCATGTTTTTGTCGCAGTTCTGTGGTCTGTCAGTGAGTGTATGCTGTAGATGCTGCCTAAAACTGAACTCATTTGATGCATGTTTTCAAAACCTTGATTGTGTATATTGTGTTGAAATGTTTTTGTGTAAATGTTTCACGACAACATATAGACACCGTGCTCTTCTTATCTTCTCAGTCCCCACATTACCATGGCGATGGATGGGGTTGAGATATTTACCAATTCTTCGGGGAGCCATCACGTCCTTCGGAAAAATTACGTGAGGGTTGACCTTATAAAGTCAGCGACAGCAAAGGTATGAGTGTGAATGTGCTGGTGTCTCCAAACTGAAATAGAGTTTTCCACTTGGTTAAAGAACTGACAAAGACAAAGTTTGGAAGGATGAACTCACTGCCTTTTTTCTAAATTAAGCTCAGTAATCCAGTGGCTAGCCAGTTAGCTCACCGGGGAACTATGAATGTTTATCTGATGCAGGAATATTGTGCCTCCTGTTGGGAGTTAGAATATGGCCCTGTCAGTGTCTGTTTCTAGGATTTCATGCATGAAAAGCATTGGGGTGGGCAAGGCAATGGTGGAGTGGAAATTTGACTAATCAGTAATCCAGAGGCTCAGGCTTAACCCTCTGGGGATGTGGTTTCAAATCCTAACACAGCAGGTATTGGAATTCAAACTCCGTAATTCTGGAATTGGACATTGTCCTCATTAATGGTGACCATGAAGCTCCCATAACAGCCTTTGTCTTTAAATGTGCTATAGGCAAGAGAATCTGGTCTAGAATTGTTCTAGACTGCAAGTCCACAAAAATGTGATTGACACGTAAGTGCCCTTTGAAATGGCCCAGCAACCCACTCAGTTCAAGGGCAATGAGGCTTGGGCAACAAATGTGGGTATTGCCGGCACGTTCTCATTTTTTTAAGTGCTCAATGAAGCATCATTAATTGAGATCAGAAATACATGGAAGAGCACAAAATGATAATTGAAATCAGTATTGAGGAATTTTTGCCTTTTTCTGCTCCTGTGTTGGAGCTCTGTGCTAAGGAAATTTGTAAAACTTGCACCAAAACCTTTTGTCATCAACCTCATCCTTCACAGTGTATAACTGTGCAAAGATAGTTCATTCCGCACATTTCTTCTCTTCTATCTGAGCAGAATGGTGGTATTTATCTCCTTGCCAACCAGAAAGGCTGTGATGGTGATCGCCTGTATTATGATGGCTGTGCAATGATTGCTGTCAATGGACATCTTGTGGCTCAAGGATCCCAGTTTTCCTTGGACGATGTGGTAAGACCTGAACGATGTAGGGCCTGTGAACGTGGATTCACTTTGCTTTTTGAGTTGCTGTGGGGAGGTGATGACCTAATATTATTACTGCTGGGCTGATAATCCAGAAACCTGGGTAATGTTCTGGTGACCTGGGTTCAAATTCTACCATGGAGAATGGTGAAATTTGAATTCGATGACATTCTGGAATTAAGAGTCTAACGGTGACCATGAATTCATTGTTGATTTTTGGAAAATCTCATCTGGTTCACTCATGTCCTTTAGGGAAAGAAGCTGCCATCCTTATTTACATGTGACTGCAGACCCACAGCAATGTGGCTGACTCTTAACTGACCTCTTGTGAATATAAAAGAAAGTTTAAAGTTAAAAAGAAAATTTCAAGGTGGCCTGTGCAGAATTGTTTAGTATTATTGCAGGGATTCATCCTCGTCTTTTTTACTGTGTTTAGGAAGTTATAACAACCACTCAGGATTTGGAAGATGTAAGAAGCTACGATGCAATCAGGATATCTGCAAGATTAATGGTTGGTACATGAGCTTTCCTGTGCGTTGAATTGTGAGTTTCTGTCTGTATCCAGTATTATGACTGCCATGCGAGGGATGTGCTGGTAATCAACCCCCACTACTCCAAATGTTTCCCCATCAGTGTAAATGTTCCAATTCAATCAGATCAGTCAATCAGAGGCTAGGAAACCTGCAGCGAGTAACTCCCCTCCTGGCTCCCCAAAGCCTGTCCATCATCTACAAGGCACAATTCGGGAGCGCGATGGAAAACTCTCCACTTGTCTAGATAAGTACGGCCCCAACAACACTCAAGAAGCTTGACTCCATCCAGGACAAGGCAGCCCGCTTGATTGGCACCACATCCACAAACATCCACTCCCTCCACCACTGTCTCTCAGTAGCAGCAGTGTGTACCATCTACAAGATATACTGCAGAAATTCAACAAAGATCCTTAACACCTTCCAAACCCACAACCACTTCCATCTAGAAGGACAAGGGAATGCCACCAACTACGTTCCCCTCTAAACCACTATCCGTCTATCTTAGAAATATATCGCTGTTCATTCACTGTCACTGGGTCAGAATCTTGGAATTCCCTCCCTAATGGCATTGTGAGTCAACCTACAGCACATGGACTGCAGTGATTCAAGAACGCAGCTCACCCCCACCTTCTCGAGGGCAGTAAATGCTGGCCCATCCATGTCCCACGGGATAATTTGCAAAGAAAATTATCCTTTTGAACTGCCATCCTGAAAAAAAGAAAGACTGTCACTGGATTTCTTTAATGAAGTCCGAATAATCAATTTGTTATAAAACAAAACTCACTCTTAAGAACAAGTGGCAAAATTAGTCGTTGCCTAAACTGTAATCTGCAATGACAAGTTTATCCTCTTTCAGTCTCAAAGTGGGAACACGCACGCGCACACGCGCACAATCTCACCCTCGCGCGCTCTCACACCCTCGCGCGCTCTCACACCCTCGCGCGCTCTCACACCCTCGCGCGCTCTCACACCCTCGCGCGCTCTCACACCCTCGCGCGCTCTCTCTCTCTCTCACACACACTCAGCGCGCATACGCACACACACACACAACAAAACACAACAGAAATTATATATTTTTAAATGGGGCAAAGGAAAAACACCCTTAACTGGTTAACGGTTTGAAAAGCATAAGTTTACCATTTAAAAGTAAAGCTCACTATTTCAGATGTTGGAAATCTGAATCAAATGCTGGAGAAACTCAGCAGGTCTGGCAGCATCTGTAGAGAGAGAATAGAGTTAACATTGCAAGTCTGGCCTGACTGGATTAAGGGTCACTTGACTGTGTCCCAGTAATCCTACGCCCAAACTCCATGGATCATTGACTATCTCGCTGTGTTCTGGTTTTCCCTCACCCCCTTTCACGTTTGGCTGAGAATCTATTGTTTGGTTTGTGATTCCTATCAAATTGTGTGCAATGAGTCTGTGGGCATTAGGACTTTGTTGAAAACTAGCCAAGCTCGACACATGTAGAACCTTCTAAGGTACCTGGTTGGAATCTAAGGTGAAAGAGAAGACTGATTCAGCTGCCACATCATCTAACAACAATCTGCATTTTTATGGTGCCCTCAACATAGTTAAAACATTCCAGGCACATCATAGGACCATTATTAAATATGATATGACTGTAAGCTACAGAAGGAAATGTCAATATAGATGGCCAAAATCTTGGTCACAGGGCTAGGCTTTGAGTTTCATCATGAAGCAATAGAGAGGGCTCTGGGAGTGGATAGCTTCAGGAAGCAAGGTTTGAGTTTGCCATCTTGGTACCCAATCTAAGTGGACAGTTGGCATTTTAAAACCCAGAAGACAGTCAAACAAAAACGTTTTAAGAAGTAGCCTTTATTCCTTTCCTGATTTTCCTCTGAGAGAATTACTATCGGACTGTTGATATCGAGGCACACTTCTGAATCTCTTAATCCCAACCAATTGAGGAATAGCTTTGTCCTTAGGAGTTCAGTTTGGAATTTTCTTAACAGTCTTGTGATGTTATTTTCTTTTGGGATTAGCTGTAAAGATACCGTTTTCAATTAAAAGTTGCGACAATAAGCTAATAGCCAAACTTAATTACATGACTCACTGACTCCTCTCTCCCAAAAGCCTCAGGATTGCCACTTGTTCTTTTACTTGTGCATGTTTCAAATGTCAGAATTGAATCTGTTTTGCGCATAAAATCCCAACCAGGCAACTGAAGTACAGCTCTATCCTCGGGTGAAAGTCGACTTTGCACTTTCGTCAGTTGGTGATGTCTATATGCCCTCCATTGAACCCATTCAGATCCGGTACCATACACCTGAGGAAGAAATCAGGTAGGTTTGAGCCCTCAAACTGTTCACTCGTTCCTACAGAGACCACATTGTAACCTGTATGTTATATTGTGTGTCTAGCACGGTCCTCAGTCAGAGCATCCAGGTCACATCTATGATACAAAAATAGTATGTTTGCCAAGAAACATAAGGAAGATGCAGATGGGAATACAGAAGGAAAGTACTGTGGATGCTGGAATTCTGAAATAAAAACGGGAAGTGCTGGTGAGATAAAACACGTCTGGCAGCATCTGTGGAGAGAGAAACTGAGTTAATGTTTCAAATCACATTGGTTATCCTGCTCCTGTAGTGCCCATTGGTGCCAAAGGTCTCTATCGTGCTGGTGGACACCCCATTCTCCATCTTAAAGGACACCCCAGTACAGATGTGGCCACGGAAGAGGGGCAGATGGTTGGGTACTATCGCACCCTCCACACCTGCTGCCCAGACCCTCTGCCGAGCATTATAGCCAGGAGCAGGCCCAGGAAGAGACCCTGTGATCTGTCTGCACCACCCCCACCCCCTCCACACAGTGCGTCCAGGATTGAGATTCTGAAGTGCAATCAAAATTTAATAGCAGAATGGGGACTGCAAATAAATACAGAAAGCTGTTTCTTCCAGGCCCCATAAACTGTCTGCGGTAACCTGGCACCTGGGGAGCCTCTATCACCTTTGATTACATGGGGCTGCTGCGTACAACACTCTCCAGCCCATATCCCTTATGGAAAGAGGAAGGACCCTCTAATAGGGGGTCCACCATCGAGACATATCCGAATAGCAGATAAAGTGGAGAATGTTACAGCAGCAGCCCATACAGGAAATTCTCTAAGCCATTTTGAAGGGAATAGAGGGAAGTCCTTTTTAGATGGTTTAAACTGTGCGACAGTGGCTTCTTCTAGACATTTCTTAGTCAACCTGGCGTCTCTGGAGCAGGTGTGACTTGAACCCAGACCTCCTGGCTCAGAGGTACCACTGAACCACAAGAGTCCCTGAGGAGTTTCTTCTATACTGCAAAATGTTAATTGTATCACTGTTTATAAACAGGTGGAGGGTATTGATTGATGAAGAGAGAGATGATGACATTGTGATGTTTTGTGCATCAGTTTTGTATTACTTTTCATGTGGTGGTGATGTTACTGCACCAGACATCGAGAACTGCGAAGCAGGACTCCTGAGCCAGAGCTCGTCCACTTTGTCCATTTTCTTTCTTCTTTCCTCGTCCTGTGCTTTTGCTTCCCTTCCTTTGGCAGCATCGGTGATGTTCAAGGTGAAGCTAATGCGGACTTAGATCCTCCAGAGTCTGGAGGCAAGGCCCTGGTGTGGACTGGAGACCAGTGCAGGCTCGTTTTCTCCACCTTCTCTGTTTGGAAGGACTATAATTCTGAACTTCTTTATTTCTTTATTTTTCTGATTTATTCCTATAAATTTGTCTCTCGGTACCTTTGTACCTAAGACGTGCTCATGGAAGCACATGTGACAGTAAAGCTGATTCTAATTCTAAGAACTGTATCCATGAGTTCAAATCCCACCCTGGCAGCTGGGCTGTTAAAATTCAATAAGTTATATAATGACAAAAAATATGATTGACAATGTGATCGATTCTCTGAAATGCTCTCCAGAGCCAATCAGTTCAATGCAATAATTAAAAGAAAAATACACTCTACACCATTATTTGTTCAAAGCCCTCTTTTCTGCCGTTGTCATTCATTTCACCGGGACGCTTGTCCTAACCCATTCCGATTGGTGCCAGTACCCCATGAAGTGAATTCTCTGTTTCCTATTGTTCAGCCACGCATTTAACCTTCTAATCTCTCTATCCCTATGCCAGTCGGTTCAAGACTTGGGTAGCAGTCCTGAGATTATTCGCTTTCGGGTTTTGTTTTAAAATTCAAACCCTCAAACTCTCACAGCAGAATATCAATCCTAATTCTTGTTTGTTCCTATGTGGACCATGACAACTGGATCTGACCCCTGCCATTTGAAGTTCTTTGCCAGCCATGAGGGTACCCTGGCACTGACTGAGCAGCACAGTGTTTGGAACTTTCAGTTGTAACTGCAGAGAAACAGTATCTATTTACCTGACCATATTGTTCCCCATCACTTGGGTAAATTGAATGGTTTCCTCCGCCTAGTTTGTGATGGAACTTTGTAGTACGTTTCCCTGTTATTTGGAAACTTGGGTTCCAAAGTGGGCAGGATCTTGTATGTCTTCACACTTGACTCGTATTTCTATATTGCATGTTAAGAAGAGGATAAATAGTTTTAGTTTGATTTTTGTGTTCTGTGAATGGTACTGTGAGTGAAACATGTCTATACGCTTTTAAATCCAGCATTCAAAACAAAAGTCCTTTTGCTGAATAACTCCTTGCTTTAGAAAACAAGGGTAAATGAGACAGAAATTTGGTATTGGTAAATTAATTAGAGCTGTCTTTGGTTCAGCAGGTCAGGACGAGGAATCAGTTTGTGCATAATATAATTAGTGCTTTGTTTTTCCTTTTGTGAGTAATAAACTTCATTCATTTGTTAAAAGTACATTGGCAGCCTCGTGTGAACATGATCAGTGACTGACCACAGTAAACAAGTTATAGGAACAAAATTGACATATCAAGCCAAGTCTCATGCTGGGATCTGATTTATCCAGTATCACCATCAGCTGGGATCATTACATGTGATGGTAATTTTGCCTGAGTGCTGGAAATATGCATTTGAATACTTACAAACACAATTTTGCCCAAGTACAGGATAAAGTTCTGCTGGGAAATTGTATGACTTGATGTTACTCATTGCGTCCTCTTCATATTTTACTTAGTCTTGGACCGGCCTGTTGGTTGTGGGATTATCTGCGACGTAGTTCACAGGTAAGTCAGTGAGATGTACAACCATATTGCAAGCTTAGTTTTAGAAAACCTTACACCTTCCATACATAATTTACATGATGTTTTGTTAAAACTATCTGTTTTTCCAAGTGGGATGCCTTCATTGATTGAAGAATGGTTCTTTGCTACGTCATGCACACTAAACAATTGTTACCTAACACATTCGGGATGTGGGCATCCCTGGTAAGTCCAGCATTTATTGTCCCTCCCTGTAATTGCCCTTGAACTGAGTGATAGAGGGCAATTGATGGTTAACCCCTTGAAGTCACAAGTAGGCCAGACTCAGCAAGGATGTCACATTTCCTTCCTAACCGATATCAGTGAAACAAATTAGTTTTTAGGAGATTCAAAGGTAGTTTGCTGATCAACATTATATAGAAGCATCTTATTGTAGAATTATGAATTTGATTTAAACACCACTAGCTGTGAGGTTGTAGACATGCTCACCACTGACAATACTGATACACGAACACTAACTAGCCACCGAGAGACATGACCAATTCTCACTGGTCTCACTACACACAGCCAACGAGGGACCTGCATTTGACTGGGACAACACATCCATAACCACACGAGCCAAACAGAGACACGCCACGGAATTCCTGGAGGCCTGGTACTCCAACTGGAACTCCATCAGCAAACACATTGAATTAGACCCTGTGTACAAAACACTGAGAAACAGAACCGGAAGTAATACCGACCACCCCATCAAACCGAGACATATAAATAACAAGTGGGACAGAACACCAACACTTCAGCGGAGGCGCACTGACGATGTTACCGAGCAGGGTGACGAAACGTTTGCAACCAAACACACCAGCTCGACGAGCAAGTCTACAACCTCATCCACAACCCGAGCTACAAACCTTCTCAAAAACTTTAAACACCACTAGCTGTCACAGTGGGACTTGAAGCCATGTCCCCAGACTGAGAGGCTGGATATTTGGATGACTAGCACTATCTACCAGCTGTGGCTTGCACTGTGCAGTGGCTTGAGAGACTTATCTGTTCAGTTGTCTAGTATGGTGTAGGCACACAGCACACTGTCCTGGGCTTCTCCACACAATGGGTCGAACCACATTGTTGCTTTTCTTCTACTGAGATAGGATGGAAAATAACCAATTGAACTAATGCAAGACAATGCTGCTTCACGACACCAGAGACTCTGATTCGATTCCACCCTCGGGTGACCCTTCTGTGTAGAATTTCCACATTCTCCCCGTGTCTGCATGGGTTTCCTCTGGGTGCTGCAGTTTGCTCCCACAGTCCAAAGGGTAGGTGGACTGGTGACGCTAATTACCCCATAGTGTCTAGGGATGAGCAGGCTCGATGGATTGGCCATGGGAAATGCAGGGTTACGGGGATAAGGTTGGGGGATGTGTCTGGATGGGATGCTGTCTTTGTAAGGGTGGGAACAGCGTTCACTCGATGTGCTGAATGGCCTGAATCCACACTATAGGGATTCTATGATTTCTATATTTCCATGATTCTCCTGACTCTGTGCAGAGCAGTTTTACTGGAACCTGGAATGACATTTAGTGACTGGGTGGAATATTAATGCTTTCCCATGAAGGCACTGAGAAGGAAAGGCAGAACCTTTTGAATTTATATAGCACCTTATGTGCCCGCAGGAGTACTTCTCAGCCAGTGAAGTTGGGGGAGATAAAGACATATTGGCTATGTCACTGCACTAGCAATCCAACATCCCAGGCTAATGGTCTAGAGACATGGGTTCAAATCTCTCCTTGGCAAATGGAGAAATTTTAATTCAGTTAACCAAATCCGGAACTAAAAGCCTCTTACACTAATGGCAGCCATGAAATTAACATGGATTGTTCTAAAAACCAATTGGCGGGGAGATAGTAGTGTAGTGGTAATGCTGCTGGACTCGTAATCTAGAGAACTCCCAGGCTGATGTTTGGGGGTGTAGGTTTGAACCCTATAATGGTAGATGGTGACATTTGAATTCAGTAGAATTCTGGAATTAAACGTTAGCCTCATTCCTATCTCGAAATCACTGTTGATTGTCATAAAAATCCATCTGGTTCACTAATGCCCTTTTAGGGAAGAAAACTGCCATCCTTACTTGGTCTGGCCTGCATGTGACTCCAGACTCACACTTATATTATTTACTCTTAACTGCTCTCTGAAATGGTCGAGCAAGCCGCTTGGTCCAAGGGCCCCTAATGCTGGCCTTGCCCAGTGATGTCCACATCTCGTCCCAGAGTAGAACAAGTAGATTTTGACGTTTAGTTTGAGGTGACGTGAGAAATGTGTTGTGGCAGCCATTTTGCACAGAGCACGTTTCTGTGTCCTGTGGTAATGGCCAGATGTTCTGTGTTAGTGATGTTGTTTCAGGGACAAACCTAGAGCAGAACACTGGGGATAAGTCCCCTATTCTTCAAAGTGAGGCCGTGGGAGCTTCTGTATTGACTTGAGAGTGCAGGTAGAGGCTTGGTTTAAAGCCTCATCCAGAAGAGAACATTTCAAACATTGCAGTATTCCCTCAGCACTGCACTGGGGTATCTGCTGAGATTCAGTATTCAAACCGACAGCCTTCTCATTTGATGTGAGAGTCTACCCGTGGAACCAAGTCTGACGTTGGAGGAGTTTTACTTTTATATACATTTAAGGAAGCGTTCTCTGACTGGTTTGTGATTGTAAACAAATGATGATAATCTATCCAAAGCTTTTACCCTTGAACAAGCATGAAGGGGAATGTAATGGGCCAGTGAAGAACTGGGGACTTGTTAATTTGATAAACAGTTTCCCCGTATGGGTAGTTATTCAGCCTGAGAGCAGGCTGGCATTTGGTTCTAGGCCTTTGATGATTGTTTTTAGCTGATACCCAAGAGCTATGTGGGAGTGGCCCGGCATGATTCAACCTTCCTGGATAGTGTCCTGAGATACATCTGAGACAGGGGGATCAGGAATTGGCTTCAACGTCCCTTTAGCCGATGATCGCATGCAATGCAACATCTATATGTGGTACTACAGCACCACCTGTTGAGTTGTGCCTTACTGTACTCGACTGTATTGATTTAATTCTCGGAAGGGGGTTTGTACATCTGCATGCGTAATATTAGCGCCATTGATGCATTTAGGTGTTTTGGCTGTCACTGTTGTTTTCCATTGGTTAACAGTGTAGAGGAAGAAATATTCACATTGATTAACAAACCAGTTTAATGATACTGTGGCCCTAACTACCTTTACGCCAGTCGTGAATGTGGTCATTCCACCACAGCTAAAGTGGCTCATGCTCTCTCGTGTCTTGTCCGACAAGGGGTGAGGAGACAAAAACAGAAATTCCTGGAGAAACTCTGCAGGTCCGGCAGCATCTGTAAAGAGAAAGCAGAGTCACTGTTTTGGGTCGAGTGTGATGTGACCCACCGTGAATATCCTGCTCAATATCAACTCATACAAACAGGGAACAAGAGTAGGCCGTTCGGCCCCTCAAGCCTGCTCTGCCGTGGTGATCATAGCTGATCTAATTGTTATCCTGTACTCTACATTCCTGCAGATACCCCAATAAACCTATATCCTCAAGTAAGAATTCAAAAGACTCTCAACTCTCAGAGAGACCTCGGGGTTCAGGCACACAATGCTTTGAAGTTTATGTCACATGTACACAGGGTGGTTAAAAAGGCGTTTAGCATGCTTGCCTTCATTGCTCAGACCTTTGAGTACAGGAATTGGGAAGTCTCATTGAGGTTGTTCAGGATGTTGGTAAGATCTCTTCTGAATACTGTGTCCAGTTCTGGTCACCCTGTTATAGGAAGGATATTATTAAGCTGAAGAGGGTTCAGAAGAGATTTACCAGAACGTTGCTGGGAATCTAAGGTTTGACTTATAAGGAATGGCTGGATAGACTGAGACTTTATTCACTGAAGCGTAGGAGTTTGAGGGGTAACCTTTGTAGAGGTTTAAAAAATCATGAGGGGTATAGATAAGTGAATAGCAGGTGTCTTTTCCCTAGGGCAGGGAATTTCAAGACTAGGGGCCATATTTTTAAGGTGAGAGAGAAAGATTTAAAAATGACATGAGGGACAGTATTTTTTAAACAGTGGTTTGTGTGTGGAATGAACTCCTAGAGGAAGTGGTGGATGCGGGTACAGTTATAACATTTAAAAGATATTTAGGTAAACAGATGAATAAGAAATATTTGGACCAGTTTGATCATTGTAGCAAAGTTCCAGTTCACCAGAGTTTTGGGTCAGCTTGGAAAATTCTGGAATTGTCATAACAATTATAAGTCTTTTGATCTCCTAAGACAACTGACCGGAATAGCAAACCGAGGATGTGTGTGTGAGAGGGTGTCATTCTGACCATTAGCACTCAGGCAGTTGCCTGCTGTGGAGAGATGGAGTTTGTGTGGGATGTATTATATGATCTTCAGGTGGTTAAGGGTGGGGTTTGTTGATGATGTTGTGATTTTAATTTCTGTACTTTTCCCCATTCCTCTCCTACTTTTGTTCTGTCAGATTTCATCCTTATTCCAGATGTTCTTCATTGGACAACATGAAAAATTCTTCTGTCAGCCATTGGTCTGAACATAGTACCCAGGATGAATCTGTAATTAAAGTAGCCCCTGCTTTCCATGGCCAGTGTAATGTAGACACCTTTTTTTTTAAGAAAATAAAATCCATGTATACGCTAGCTGTAAGCAGTTACCTTTTCTCACTGAAGAGGGGCTCTGACTTCCAGTGAGATTCAATCCTGTGTTGTGAAGATACACAGTTGAAAACCTTGCCATTTCTCCACCCACTCGATCCAATTGTCTTTGCAGAATAAGCTTTGCTTGAAAAAAGACACCCATTTGTTCCAGTCGTTTTGCTGATAGTCATCAGGCTGATTTGCAAGAATACAAATTTAAGAGAAAAACCAACTTGTTTACCACATTTGAAGGAGAGTGCTGTTTGGGTGGTGAGTGAACTCTGTTGGAGGCGTTGCCACTGAGAATGCAGCAGTTAAGAATGGTTGACAGTTAACAACCAGGATTTTTTTCAATCCTAAAGAAGGAAGCTTGATGAATTCAATAGTCTTGATAATCGCCCTGAGAACTGTTTGCTGTTTTGTTGAGTTGAAACAGTGCAATGCGTGTACATGTTTTTTTCTATCTGCAAAGACCAGGGCTCTGTGTGTATATATAGCTTCCAGCCCCTGCAAGGGTACCACACTGAGAGCCAGACTGAAATTCTGAACTGACTAATGAGAAGCTTTGACAAAAATTTGCTCAGCAATACTCAATTTTTGTACCAGAAGGTGACCATTTGTGCCTGATTTGATTGCGTTTACCAGATGAAAGTTGCCTGTGTTACTGGGGGTGGAGTGGCTGGAAGTAATGAAGCTCCTTTCCCTAAACATAGCAAGAACTTCCAACTAACATGAGTCAGTAGCTGCTGGCTAATTGAACTTGCATAACCAAAACAAATTTATCTCAGTGGAAACAGATGCGTTTCCAACCTTACACTGAGTCTGGTGTGAGTGGTTATTCAAGAGTAATGTGTGTGTGGAAGTGTGATTGTAATTTAAGTTGAGTAGATTCCTGTTTGCTATTCCTGTTGTGTGATGTGTCACTTTTTTGTCTGTAGGCTGGATTTCTTCTACCTCTTAGTGGTGGCATTGATAGCTCAGCTACAGCCTGTATTGTCTATTCCATGTGTCATCAGGTGTGCCTTGCTGCAAGTAATGGAAGTAAGTTGCTATAAAGTTACCCATCGATTATCATAACCCATCTGGTTCACTAATTCCCTTTAGGGAAGGAAATCTACCATCCTTACCCAGTCTGGCTTACAGTAATTTCAGACCCAAATAATATGGTTGACTCTTGACTTCCCTGTGGGCAACTGGGGATGGACAATGAATTGTCTTCCACAACTGAGAATTCCTCAGCACCTTTGTCAACAGGGCTCTCAACCGGGTCTGACCCATCTCCACACTTCTGCCCTCACCCCCTCTCTTCCCTCCCGCAACAGAGATAGGATTCCCCTCGTCCTTATCTACCACTCCGCCAATGTCCACATCCAGAAGATCATCAGATGCCACTTCTGTCATCTCCTGCAAGGTGCCACCGCCAGACACATACTTCCCTCCCCTCTCTTGTCTGCCTTCTGTAGGGACTGTTCCCTCTGGGACACCCTGGTTCACTCTTCCTTCATTCCCCCCGAACCTCATGGCACCTTCCCCTGCAACCGCCAAAGGTGTAACACCTGCCCATTTACCTCCTCCCTTCCCACTATCCAAGAGCCCAAAGATACCTTCCAGGTGAAGCAACACTTCACCTGCACTTCCCAGAATCTAGTCTACTGCATTCGCTGCTCACAATGTGGTCTCCTCTACATTGGGGAAAACGAAGCATAGACTGGGTGACCGCTTCGCAGAACATCTACGCTCTGCTCGCAAAAAAGACCCTGAGCTACCAGTTGCCTGCCACTTTAACACACCACCCCGTTCCCTGGCCAACATCTCTGTCTCTGGTTTTCTGCAGTGTTCCAGTGAAGCTCAACACAAGCTGGAAGAACAGTACCTCATTTTCCGCCTGGGGACCCTGCAGCCCTCTACGTTGTATAATTTTAGGGCCTAAACGCTACCATGTCCCAGTCCCCTAACCCACACATCAGGCCTTGTATTAAAATGTCTTCCATTACAAACTACCTATTGTTAGCCACTAACAGTCCCCATTAACAGCTATTCACCCTCCTAGCCAGATCGTTATCCATTCCATTGTCTGTCCGACTGTTCTTCTCTCTCTTTGGGCTCTATCCCCACCTATTGTTTACTCCTTACCCCCTCCCCCTCCCTGTCTGCTGCATATAAACCAACATTTCCCCAGCTACCATCCATCCTGAGGAAGGGCCACCGGACCCGAACGTTAACTCTGATTTCTCTTCACAGATGCTGCCAGACTTGCTGAGCTTTTCCAGCAACTTCTGTTTGTGTTTCTGATTTACAGCATCCACAGTTCTTTCCATTTTTTACGGACAATAAATGTTGGCCTAGATAGTGACACTGTCATCCCACGAATAATAAAATAAGTATGACCATCTGAATTAGGAACAGGAGTAGGCCGTTTGACCCATTAAGCCTGCTCCAATATTTAGTAATGCCCACCATCTAAAGGGCACAGTCAGGACTTGCCTGGATGAGTGCAGCTCCAACGCTCAAAGTTGACAGCTTAAGGAACAAAGCAGGCCACTTGATTGGCACCACACCATGGCTGTTCTGTTTGTGTTCCAAATTCCACATTCCCGTCCATCCCCACTAAACTTGAATCCTTGTTGGACAAGAGAGTTGGTTCACATCCGTAATTAAAATATTCAATGACCCTCCCCAAGCACCCCCCCCCCCCCCCCCCTCCACCAACTGTCTTGCGAAGCAGAGGGTGCCAATGTCTTTCAGCTCGCGGAAAGAAAAACATTCCCTTCATCCGTACTAAAAGGGTGACTCCTAATTTTTAAACCCATGTTCTCGAATCCCTCCTTAAGCAGCTTGAACCACTGTAGTTGCTGGCACATTGTGAAATGGCATTTTTAATATTCAGGTCTGTGTACCCTTTTTTTTTTGAGGCTCTGGCTTTCATGCTGTGTGAGGTCCCAAGCAATAAAACAAACCAGCCAACTTGGCACCAATGACAGTATCCTCGCTTTGAGAGAGGAGGAAAGAATGTTTATGAGCTGTGCAGGCTGTTCTCTACACGTCTGAGCGGCCGAGTATTGGCGGAGGCTTACCAGTAGGAGGTGATGTAAACCAAGGCTGGAGAATACGGTGCGAAAGAGGAAATTAAATAGAATCACAATTGTTCAGCGTAGAAGAAGACCATTCGGCCCATATCCACAATCCTTATCCAGTCACACACTAATTGACTTTTTTTTGAACCATACTTCACCCAATACAGTTTGTTTTTTTTGAAAGTAGAAAAAGTTAGATTTTTGCACTCTGTGAAGTTTGTCTTAATTTAGCTGTAAATTGATGAGGAATGCTTTCAAAAAAGGTTAAACAACTTTCAGCAGTTTGCTGGGATGACGTTACTCGCAATGTGCTCTGATAGGTTGTATGGTAAAATGTTGAAGTTTTCGTTTCATCTGTTCAGATCAGCAGGTGATTGAAGATGCCCGGAGGATAGTGAATGATCCTCAGTATGTCCCCAAGGACCCACGGGAATTTTGTAACCGTATCTTTATCACCTGCTACATGGCAAGTGAGAACTCTTCACGAGACACTTGCAATCGAGCCAAAGAGTTGGCAGAGCAAATAGGCAGGTAAGGCATTAGTGGAAGCAGGAAGTTGGTTTGTGTTGTCATGGCATTTTATGCACTGGTTCAATCTTCTCTCTGGAGCTTTCAAATTTATGCAGTGATTTCCAAGACTTCAAAAAAGGACGGCACAGTGGTTAGCACTGCTGCCTCACAGCACCAGGGACCCGGGTTCAATTCCACCCTCGGGTGACTGTCTGTGTGGAGTTTGCACGTTCTCCCTGTGTCTGCATGGATTTCCTCCGGGTGCTCCGGTTTCCTTCCCACAGTCCAAAGATTGGCCATGCTAAACTGCCCATAGTGCCCAAGGATATGCAGGCTGGGTGGATTAGCCATGGGAAATGCAGGGTTGCAGGGATGGGGTAGTGAGGTGGGTCTGGGTGGGATGCTCTTTGGAGGGTTGATGTGGACTCGGGCTGAATGGCCCCCATCCACGCTTTAGGGATTCTATGATTAAACCTTCTTCTTAACAATATTCTCCTTGAGGCTGTACTTGATGAGATTACAGACCTCATAACCCTTGTGGTTTACAATAGTTTTTTGGGGGCAAAATTGCAATCCCATTTTAATTCCTCTTACTATTATTTTCATGAACTGTTCAAAAGTTACTCCTGTGTGACTTTTCTGACCCATTGTCTTGATTAGTGAATGATTGAATTTGACCTATGAGGAATGATTAAATAGCCTGGATCTCTAACCTTTGGAGTTTAGAAGATTGAGAGGTGGTCACATTCAAAGATATTCGTTTTCTTCAGCAATCAACAGGGTAAATACAGGAAGGATGTTTTTCCCCTTGGGTGGATGAGGGGACACAGTCTCAGAATATGGAGAAACGTATTCTGAAATAAAAGGAAGAAGAAGTCGGTGAATCTTTGGGAATCTGTCTCCTCGTGGTCTGTGGAGGATCAGCCATTGAATGTGTTGGAGATGGTGATCGATAGATTTATATAGATTTAAAAATATCAAGGGGTACAGTGATCATAATTTCATGGGTTTTAAGATAGTTATGGAAAAAGAAAAGACTGGTCCTCGGGTGAAAGTGCTAAATTGGGGGAACTGCACTGTGGAGGAACTGGAGAAATTGCACTGAGAGCAGCTGCTCGAAGGTAAATCCACATCTGGCATAACAAGGTGTAGAGCTGGATGAACACAGCAGGCCAAGCAGCATCAGAGGAGCAGGAGCAGGAGCAGGAGGAGGAGGAGGATAGCAAAACCTGTCCATCTTCTCTCCCACCTATCCACCACTCCCACCTCACTGACCAATCCCCACAACTCCCTACCTGCACTCCCCTATTACCATCCCACCTGCCTTTCCCAGCCCCACCCCTCCTCTGTCTCTTTATTTCTCAGCTCCCTTCCCCCTCCCCATTTCTGAAGAAGGCTCCCGACCCGAAATGTCAACTTTCCTGCTCCTCTGATGCTGCCTGGCCTGCTGTGTTCCTCCAGCTCCACACTGTGTTATCTCTGGCATGTGGGAGTCTCTTTAAAGGCTAGTTGATCAAAATTCACGTTCAGCATGTTCCTGTGAGGATTAAAGATAAGGATGGCAAAATTCAGGAACCTTCGATGTCAAGAGATATTGAAAGTTTTTTCAAAAAGGAAAAGGAAGCTTATATAGGATTTAGGAAACTGATATTGGATAAGGCCTTTAGGAGTATAAAGGAAACACAAAAAAAACTTAAAGAAATTTAGTGGGCTAGAAGGGGCCATGAAATGTTCTTTGCAAGTACGATTAAGGAGAATCCCAAGGCAATTTATATGTATATAAGAAGGAAGAGGGTAAGTAGGGAAAGGGTAGGTCCACTCCAGGACACAAAGGAATTTCAGTGGAGCCAAAGTTGCTGGTTGAGGTCTTTAATGAGTACATTGCATCAGTACTCACCAAGGAAAAGGATGTGGATAATGGTAAGATTAGAGAAGGGTTTATTGATACTGTAAAGCATGTCAATACCAAGAAGGAGGTCATGTTGGGTGTCCTGAAAAACATTGAGGTAAATAAGGCCCCAAGGCCTGATGGCATCTATCCCAAGATTTTGCGGGAGGCAAGGAAAAAGATTGCTGGAGCCTTGACTGGGATCTTTGTATCTGCTTTAGTCACAGGTGACGTTCCAGAAGGCTGGAGAATAGCCAATGTTGTTCCTTTGTTTAAGAAGCAGAACAGGGATAATCCTGGGAATTATAGACTGGTGAGCCTTAAATCAGTAGTAAGGAAATTATTGGAGAAGATTCTTGGGGCAGAATTTACTTGCATTTCGAGAAGAGTGGACTTATTATGGATAGTCAGCATGGCTTTATGTGGGAGAGGTGTTGTTTTTCTTTTGAAGAAGTGACAATTGACGAGCGTAAGGCAGAAGATGTTGACTGCATGGACTTTACTAAAGCATTTGACAAGATCCCTAATTGTAGGCTGGTCCAAAACCTCAACCTATATCCATAGTAAATTGGCAAGTTGGATACAAAAATGGCTCAGCCATTAAAGACACAGTAGTTGGAGAGGGGTGTTTTTCTAATTGTAGGTTGGCGACTAGTGGTGTTCCTCTGTTTGTAATATACATAAATAATTTGAATCGAAGTGTAAGTGGTCTGATTAATAACTTTGCAGATGACACCAAAAGTGGTGGAGGTGTGGATAGTGAAGAGAGTTGTCAAAGGGCACAGCAGGATATAGATCAACTGGAAAGTTGGGCAGAGAAATGGCAGAATTTAATCTGGACAAGTGAGAGTTGATGTATGTTGGGAGGTCAAATGCAAGAGGAAATTATACAGTAAACGGCAGGACCCTTAATAGCACTGATACATACTTGGGTTGCAAGTCTGTAGCTCCCTGACTGTGGTAACACAAATGGATAAGGCAGCAAGGAAGGTGTATAGCATGGTTGCCTTCATTGTTTAGGGCATTGTATATAAAAATTGGCCGGTTATGTTGCAGCTGTATAAGACTTTAGTCAAGCCACATTTGGAGTACTGTGCACAATTCTGATTGCCACACTGTAGGAAGGATGCAGAGGCTTTGGAGAGGGTGCAAAAGAGGTTTCCCAGGATATTTTCTGAAGAAGGGTGTGAACCCGAAATGTCAACTTTCCTGCTCCTCTGATGCTGCTTGGCCTGCTGTGTTCATCCAGCTCTACACCTTGTTATCTCTGTTTTCCCAGGATATTGCCTGGATAGGAGTGTATTAGGTGTAAGGAAAGATTAGACAAACTTTGATTGTTTTCGCGAGAGTGTTGGAGGTGGAGGGATAACCTGATAGAAGCTCACTAAATTATGAGACACATGGATGCGGTGGATAGTCGAAGTCTCTTTCCCCAGGGTGGAAATGTCAAATAATTGGGGGCATAGGTTTAAGGTGAGGGGGGAAATTTTTAAGGGAGATGTGCAAGGCAAGTTTTTGTTTAGAGGGTGGTAGGTGCCTGGAATGTGCTGCCAGGGGAGTTGGTAGAAGCAGATATGATAGCAACATTTAAGAGGCATTTAGACGGACGCATGAATAGGCAGGGAAGAGGGGGATATGGACCATGTACAGGCAGATGGGATTAGTTTACAATGGCATCATGGTTAGCACAGACATGGTGGGCTGAAGGGCCTGTTCCTGTGCTGTTCAATGTTCTAACTGAAGGTAATTCAGGAAACTGGTGTTGAAGTTGTTTAATAAACTAATATCCAGGTGTTAACAAGACTTTTCAGAGATTTACCACAATTTAGCACTAACACCAGCTTCCACTGTTCCCTTCTCGATTCTTTTTTCTGTCCAGAGAATAACGCGCCTTGAGGAAAATCTCAGCCTTTCCTCTTCCTCCTTCGAATCAATAAGAGAGTCTTCTACCAGCCCCCTGTTTTTGGAGTCTCCAATCCCTGCCAGCATCCCACTGAGGAAGAACTCCTTTTTTTCTCCTGTAAATAAACCAAATCATCAAATTAACAAGTCACCCGAAAATAAATGCCGCCCATCAGGAGCAGCATAATAATAACCAAGCAATCAAATTCAAAAACCAAAGAGAGGGGTGCTAAATAGAAATGATATTTGAGGGGGAGGTGATGCACTCCAGCTCCGATGTACCTACCTTTTCCTGAAAGACCTCAAGGGATTCCGCGCGTTCCCTGTCCTAGGACACCGGGCACGGATGTAACCGCAGAAGAGACTCAGGCAGTTGGGAATTACAGCCCTCTTTATGGACCCCTGCCTGGATGTCAGCTTTTGTCAGGCCCACAAGGTGTCCTCTGATATTTAAAAAAGCCCACCACCAAATTAACAGGACACCCAACTCTGGCCCTGATGGTACCCTTCTAGAAAGCAGCACTTGAATAGAAATTCTAACCTCAATTAAAGATGGAGCTGTTTTAGTTGACCCTCCAAGGAACCTACATTGTTAACGACCAAATAGAACATCAGCCTTGATCTAAAATAAACCAAAGAACTGTGGATGTTGGAAATCAGTAAAGAAACTCAGAGTTGTAAGGAAGGGTCACTCAAAACGTTAACGCCACAGATGCTGCCAGGCCTCCTGAGTTTCTCCAGCAATTTCTGTTTTTGTATCAGCCATGATCTCTTTGAATGACGGAGTGGGCTTGAAGAGCTGAACGTCTAACTCCTTCTCTTGGTTCTTACGTTCTGAAAATAAAGACTGTGGCTTACCTTTGCCTCAGCACTGAGGTCAGTGTGCTGACTTTTTCTCCCTGTTAAATCTGTTGAGTCTGCTTCATGAGAAGTACAGTTCACCAGCTTTAAAGTTTTTAGAACAAGTTTTGAAGACTTTTACTGTCACGAACAAATATCAGCATTGATAAGCGTTACTTGGAATGCAGTGAATAAATTAAATGACTGGGGGGAAAAGATACTCTTATTAGTTTCTTGACGTTACTGAGAACTCCACATCACTTCAGTAGGAATTTAGCACTGGATCCTCCTTCAGTGTTTCCATGGGCTCTCTTCTCCCAGATACTTCGGGGAAAGTTATCCAGAGTCCTCGTATTTTCTAACCGACCTGTTCAGGACTGTTACGACACACCTTTGGAGCAGGTGGGAGCCGAACCCAGGCCTCCTGGTTTAGAGGTAGGGGCACTACTGCTGCATCCCTGGAGCCCCAGTTTCAGCCAGGGTCCTTTTCTGCATGTCCCTTCACTCAAGTATCCTGACATAACTAAATTGAGTGTTTTTTAAGCTCCCAACAATAAGACCATAAGAAATAGGAACAGGAATGGGCTTTTCACCGTGCGAGCCTTCTCCACCATTCAAAAGGGTCATGGCTGATTCGACTTTCCTCACTTCCACTTTCCTGCCTCTTCCCCACAACCCTTGATTCCTTGAATGATCAAGAATCCATCTATCTCAGGCTTAAATGTATTCAAGGACTCTGCCCCCATAGCTCTCTGTGGCAAGGAGTTCCAAAGACACTCAACTCTCTGAGAGAAGAAATTCCTCCTCATGTCAGTCTTAAATTGGTGTCCCTTTATTCTGATGCTGTGCCCTCTGGTCCCAGACTTTCCCATGGGATGGGAAACATCCTCTCATCATTTAACCCATCAAGCACCTTAAGAATCCAATAAGTTTCAATGAGATAAGTGAGGGTAGGTGCGAATGTGGGAGTAAGTGGATCATGAGAGAGGAACTTTACTGTACATGCCTCATGAAGATTGCTTTGGGGTCTTTGCAATAGCTGCCACTGCCTCTGATGTTGCTAAGACAAGAGAGTAACCGCTGTTAATCTTAATAGTTTCTATTTTTTTCCAGCTATCACATAAACTTGAACATTGATCCGGCAGTGAAAGCTGTGATGGGAATATTCCGCCTAGTAACTGGTAAATCTCCACAGTTTGCAGCTCATGGTGGCAGCAGAAGAGAAAACCTGGCCCTACAGAATTTACAGGTACGTAGGCAGAACATCCGCTACATCTTGTGACCTGCAAGATATACATGCCGGGTGAATATTCTGTAATTTATGCAAAAGGTGTAGTTATGTAGCATGAAGAATTATAGTGATCCTATACACTGCTCCACTTAGACTCAGTATAACATGTGAAGTAATAAGGGAAAATTCTGAAAATGCTCAGCAGGTCAGGCAGGATTTGGTGGAGACAAAAACAGAGCTAACCTCGTGACCGTTTCTGTCTGGTGACAATTCCGGCAACTGCTCTGTCCAGGATTAAAAAAAAACTAGTCATGAACACAGCCCTGTCCATCATGCAAACCTGTCTCATCCATTGACTTCATCGACACTTCCTGCTGCAATGGGAAAGTAACCTACATTATTAAAGACCCCTCTCACCCCGGTTATAATGACTTCCACTCTTTTCCGTCAAGCAGAAGGTATAAAAGTTTGAAGACACATATGAATACATTCAGGAACAGCTCCTTCCCTGCTGTAATCGGACTTTTGAATGAACTTCTTTAATGTTAATGTTAATCTCTCTCTGCACCTTCTCAGCAGCTGTAACACTGTCCTGCACTCTGTTCTGTTACTGTGATGCACTTGTGTAGTGTGATCTGCCTGTAAAGCACATAAGACAATGTTTTTCACTGTACTTTGGTACACATGACAATGATAAATCAAATCAACTCATTCTTTGACCTGAAGCGTCAACTCTCATTACTTCTCTGCAGGTATTCTCAGCTATTTCATTTTTATTTCAAATTTCCAGTATCATCAGTCTTGCTTTCTAATATGTGTATTTATTGACATCCAGTTTAAGTAGAACTCGAGTTCCCCCTTCCCCTGGTCCCCAGTTGTTACTTTCCCCCGCTGTTGTTTTACACGAAAATGTACAATTTTAAAGTGACCGAGCAGCTGACCTGCCAGAGTTAGCAAACACTTTGTACTGTTATTCTCACTCTCGTGAATGGTTGGAACTGCTGACGTACCCACAAGGCAGCATTGCATTCAGTATTCAAGTCAGCCTATTTTAGAAATTGACAATAACACAGGATATTTGGAAGAATATCGGGAAAGTAGGACCAATCTGAAACGAGGAATTAAGAGGGCTAAAAGGCATCATGAAATATCTTGAGCAAACAGGGTTAAGGAAAATCCCAAAGCCTTTTATTCATACATAAGGAGCAAGAGGGTAACTAGAGAAAGGGTTGGCCCACTCAAGGACAAAGGAGGGAAGTTATGCGAGGAATCAGAGAAAATGAGTGAGATTCTTAATGAGTACTTTGCGTCGGTATTCACTGAGGAGAGGGACATGACGGATGTTGAGGTTAGGGATAGATGTTTGATTATTCTAGGTCAAGTCGGCATAAGGAGGGGGAGGGGAAGTGTTGGGTATTCTAAAAGGCATTAGGGTGGACAAGTCCCCAGGTCCGGATGGGATCTATCCCAGGTTACTGAGGGAAGCGAGAGTAGAAATAGCTGGGGCCTTAACCGATATCTTTGCAGCATCCTTGAGCACGGGTGAGGTCCCGGAGGACTGGAGAATTGCTAATGTTGTCCACTTGTTTAGGAAGGGTAGCAAGGATAAACCAGGTAATTATAGACCGGTGAGCCTGACGTCAGTGGTGGGGAAGCTGCTGGAGAAGAGACTGAGGGATAGGATCTATTTACATTTGGAAGAAAATGGGCTTATTAGTGATAGGCAGCATGGTTTTGTGCAGGGAAGGTCATGTCTTACCAACTTGATAGAATTCTTTGAGGAAGTGACAAAGTTGATAGATGAGGGAAGGGCTGTAGATGTCATATACATGGACTTCAGTAAGGCGTTTGATAAGGTTCCCCATGGTAGGCTGATGGAGAAAGTGAAGTCGCATGGGGTCCAGGGTGTACTAGCTAGATGGATAGAGAACTGGCTGGGCAACAGGAGACAGAGTTGTAGTGGAAGAGAGTTTCTCAAAATGGAGAACTGTGACCAGTGGTGTTCCACAGGGATCCGTGTTGGGACCACTGTTGTTTGTGATATATATAAATGATCTGGAGGAAGATATAGATGGCCTGATTATCAAGTTTGCAGATGACACTAAGACTGTTGGAGTAGCAGATAGTGCAGGGGACTGTCGGAGAATGCAGCAGAATATAGATAGATTGGAGAGTTGGGCGGAGAAATGGCAGATGGAGTTCAATCCAGGCAAATGCGAGGTGATGCATTTTGGAAGATCCGATTCAAGAGCGAACTATACGTTAAATGGAAAAGCCCTGGGGAAAATTGATGCGCAGAGAGATCTGGGTGTTCAGGTCCATTGTATCCTGAAGGTGGCAACGCAGGTGGATAGAGTGGTCAAGAAGGCATACGGCATGCTTTCATTCATCGGACGGGGTATTGAGTACAAGAGTTGGCAGGCCATGTTACAGTTGTATAGGACTTTGGTTCGACCACATTTGGAATACTGCTTACAGTTCTGGTCGCCACATTACCGAAAGGATGTGGATGCTTTGGAGAGGGTGCAGAGGAGGTTCATCAGGATATTGCCTGGTAAGGAGGGCGCTAGCTATGAAGAGAGGTCGAGTAGATTAGGATTATTTACATTAGAAAGATGGAGGTTGAGGGGGGACCTGATTGAGGTCGACAAAATCATGAGAGGTATAGACAGGGTGGATAGCAAGAAGCTTTTTCCCAGAGTGGGGGACTCCATTACTAGGGGTCACGATTTCAAGGTGAGAGGGGAAAAGTTTAAGGGAGATATGTGTGGAAAGTTCTTTACGCAGTGGGTGGTGGGTGCCTGGAATGCGTTGCCAACGGAGGTGGTAGAGGCGGACACGATAGCGTCATTTAAGATGTATCTAGACAGATACATGAATGGGCAGGGAGCAGAGGGATACAGATCCTTGGAAAATAGGTGACAGGTTTAGATAGAGGATCTGGATCGGCGCAGGCTTGGAGGGCCGAAGGGCCTGTTCTGTGCTGTAATTTTCTTTGTTCTTTGTTCTGTATCATAACACCAGCTCGGACTGTTTAACATTTGTGAAATCGGAATCCTTCTAAGATGGTACTTGCAGGAGCTGTATGCTTCAGTGAAAGCACTAATGTAACAACTGTGCTCATTTTTGAAAATCACCCTCTTCACACTGTGGCCTGGTTTTAGAGCAGCTGGTTGAATTTAATTTATTTCCTGATTTTCTTGTTCCTGATGCTTCTATGTATAAGTTTCTGCCAAAACACTAGAATGCAGTGCTCTTGTAACTCACAATTCACAAAACTGTTTCCTTTGATGCAATCAGCTGTAATGAGCTATTCCATCACTGGTGCTGGTAGTAAACATTACTACTCAGACGCATTGTGAGATTATTTCAGTGTTCGCTCTTTGAGTATCCTTCCCCCCCGTGGGGATTCACAGCAGGTTTACTTGCTGAAATATAACCAAAAGAGAAAGGAGATAATTCCATCAGCAATGCCACAGTCTCACAGGCAACATCACATAGGGAGAGATGGAAAATACAGAAAAAGACTTGGTCTTCATGCCCGTTTACTGGCGCAGATACAACCAATGGATGTGATTATGCTTTCAAACACCTCCTGTATTGAGGCACTGGTGCTGTTTAGAAGGGATTGAAGATGAGCCAAAATGAGTAGTTTTGGGAGCTGCCTTTCTCTTTCACCCTGATCCCAGGGAGCCACAGTCTAGGGATAGCATACTCAGCCATTTGTGAAATCCTGCTATTTCTGTGCTCAGGAGAGTTCCAGGGTTAAATGTCTGTCTGCCTAAGGTTCTTGCGAAGATTTGTAGCTCGGGTTGTGGATGAGGTTGTTGGCTGGTTATTGTACAGACATTTCGTCACCATGCTAGGTAACATCAGTGCAGCCTCCGATGAAGTGATGTTGTTCTACTCCAGTTGGAATGTATATGATCTGGTCTGTTAAGTTGCGTTGTGTCATTTCCGGTTCTTTTTTGCATGGGTTTGGAGATGGGGTCTAATTCCACATGTTTGTTGAGTGCATTATGGGTGGAGAACCAGGCCTCTCGGAATTTCTGTGTGTCTGTGGTTGGCTTGAGCTGAGATGGTCACGTTGTCCCAGTTTAATTGATGGCCTTCATCGTCTGAGTGCTCTGAGATGAGGGAAAGTTCGTCATGTCGTGTTTTGCTGCTAGCTGGTGTTCATGTATCCTGATGATTAGTTTCCTTCTGGTCTGGCCGATGTAATGTTTGTTGCAGTCATTGCAAGGTATTTTGTAAACTACATTGGTCCTGCATGTCATGGGTATGGGGTCTTTGGTCCTTGAGTGTTTGTCATAGTGTCGCTGTCGGTTTGTGTGCTGCTATGATTCCTAGTGGTCAAAGGAGCCAACAACCTCATCTATCTGCCTTTCCTGGGACAGAATTACTCCAACCCTAAAGCCCTCTGTAGTGGAGTCAGAGGTGTACAGTACAGAAAAAGACCCTTTGGCCCATCAAGTCTGTGACAGTCAGAAACAACCATCTAACTATTCGAATCCCATTTTCCAGCCCTTGGCCCATATCCTTGTATGCCTTGGCATCACAAGATTGAGCAGCAGTAGTTCCAACACAATGAAACTTGTCACCCCAGCGACAGAGCTGTTGGTTCATTGCTGATTGAAGACTTGATCCGGGAGTGGGGAATGTGTTCGGGAGACAACCAATGCACTGGATACCTCCTGTTTCCATTGACATTGCCAAGCTAAAGCTGGTGCTCCTGCCTGACGAATGACTGTTCTGGAGATTATATCTCTGCTAGTGTCCCCTCTGACTCCACCTGTGAGAAGTGGACCCAACTCCAGCTCCTCAAAAACCGTGTAGGGAACTGGAGCTGGAGCTGGATGAACGCCGGATCATTCGGGAGGCTGAGAGGGTGATAGAGAGGAGTTTTAAGGAGGTGGTCACACCCAAGGTACAGGAAAAAGGTAGCTGGGTGACTGTCAGGAATGGGAAAGGGAATAGGCAGACAGTGCAGGGATCCCCTGTGGCCGTTCCCCTCAATAATAAGTATACCATTTTGGATACTGTTGGGGGGGACGACCTACCAGGGGAAGGCCATAGCGGACAGGTCTCTGGCATTGAGCCTGGCCCCGTGGCACAGAAGGGAAGGGGGGAGAATAGGAGAGCAATTGTAGTGGGGGATTCGATAGTAAGAGGCACAGACATGCGGTTCTGTGGACGCGAACGAGACGAATGGATGGTATGTTGCCTCCCGGGTGCCAGGGTCTGTGATGTCTCGGATCGTGTCTTCAAGGTCCTTAAGGGGGAGGGTGAGCAACCAGCAGTCATGGTACACATCAGTACCAATGACATAGGTAGAAAAAGGACTGAGAATGTGAAAAACGAGTACAGGGAGTTAGGTTGGAAGCTGAAGTCCAGGACAAACAGGGTAGTTATCTCTGGATTACTACCAGTGCCATGTGATAACAGGATAAGAAATAGGGAGAGAGTGCAGCTAAACACGTGGCTACAGGGCTGGTGTAGGAGGGAGGGCTTCCATTTTGTGGATAATTGGAGCACATTCTGGGGAAGGTGGGACCTGTACAGTAAGGACAGGTTGCATCTGAACCGGAAGGACACAAATATCCTGGGAGGGAGGTTTGCTAGATCTGTACGGGATGGTTTAAACTAGATTGGCAGGGGGTTGGGAACCAGATTTGTAATTCCGAGGATGAGGTATTCAGCCTTCCAACAGGTACAACAGGGAGTGAGGTTGTTAATAAAGAAATGCGGTCTATGGAGCGTAATTGTGGACACAGAGATGGTTTGAGGTGTGTATACTTCAATGCTAGAAGTATCAGAAATAAGGCGGATGAGCTGAGAGCATGGGTCAGTACTTGGAACTACGATATTGTGGCCATTACAGAAACTTGGGTAACTCAGGGACAGGAATGGTCATTGGAAGTTCTGGGATTTAGATGCTTTAAAAGAAATAGGGAGAATGGAAAAAGAGGTGGGGGAGTGGCATTGCTAGTCAGGGCTAGTATAGCAGCTACCGAAAGGCAGTTCGAGAATGATGTGTCTACAGAGTCAGTTTGGGTTGAGGTCAGGAGCAGTCTCTTTGTTGGGGCTTTTTTACAGACCCCCTTATAGTTGCAGAGAATTGGAGGAGCAGATTGGGAGGCAGATACTGGAAAGGTGCAGAAGTCACAGGGTTGTAGTCATGGGTGACTTCAACTTTCCAAACATTTTAGTTTTAATGGTTTAGATGGAGCGGATTTTGTCCAGTGCATTCAGGAAGGATTCCTGACACAGTATGTAGATAGACCAACACAAGGAGAGGCCACTTTGGATTTGGTGCTTGGCAATGAACCGGGCCAAGTGTTAGACCTGTTGGTAGGAGAGCATTTTGGCGGTAGCGATCATAACTCTGTTACTTTTACAATAGTCATGGAAAAGAATAGGTACATACAGCAGGATAAGGTTTATAATTGGGGGAAGGGTAATTACAATTCAGTTAGGCAAGAACTGGGTAACATAAAATGGGAACAGGTGCTGTCAGGGAAGAGCACTATTGAAATGTGGAGATTGTTTAAGGAATGCATACTGCGTGTGCTCGATATGTTTGTCCCTAGCAGGCAGAGAAGATGCGGTCGAGTGAGGGAGCCTTGGTTCTCGAGAGAGGTCGAACGACTGGTTAAGAGGAAGAAGGATGCTTATGTAAGGTTTAGGAAACAAGGAACAGAAAAGGCTCTAGAGGGATACAAGTTATCCAGGAAGGAGCTGAAGCAAGGGCTTAGGAGAGCTAGAAGGGGGCATGAGAAAACCTTGGCAGATAGGATCAAGGAAAACTCCAAGGCTTTTTACACGGACGTGAGGAAAAAGAGAATGACCAGAGAAAGGGTAGGGCCGATCAAGGAATTTGTGCACGGAGCCTAAAGAGATAGGAGAGGTCCTTAATGAATACTTTTCTTCGGTTTTAACAACTGAGAGGGACTTAGTTGTAGAGGAGGACAGTGTGAAACAGGCTGGTAGGCTAGAGGAGGTGGATGTTAGTAAGGAAGATGTGCTAGGAATTTTGAGGAACTTGAAGATAGATAAGTCTCCTGGGCCTGATGGGATTTATCCAAGGATTCTATGGGAAACGAGGGAAGAGATTGCAGGGCCTTTGGCGATGATCTTTTCCTCCTCACTGTCCGTGGGTATAGTGCCAGAAGATTAGAGATAGGCAAACGTCATTCCCTTGTTCAAAAAAGGGAATAGGGATAACCCCGGAAATTACAGGCCAGTTAGTCTTACGTCAGTGGTGGGCAAATTATTGGAAAGGGCTCTGAGAGAGAGGATTTATGATCACTTGGAAAGGCACAGTTTGATTCGTGATCGTCAGCATGGATTTGTGAGGGGTAGATCATGCCTCACAAACCTTATTGAGTTCTTTGAAGAGGTGACCAAACACATGGATGAAGGTAGAGCAGTGGATGTGGTATACATGAATTTAAGTAAGGTGTTTGATAAGGTTCCGCAAGGTAGGCTCATGCAGAAGGTAAGGAGGCATGGGATAGGGGGAAATGTAGATTGGATTCAGAATTGGCTGACCCTTAGAAGACAAAGGGTGGTAGTGGACGGAACATATTCAACATGGTGCTCAGTTACGAGTGGTGTACCACAAGGATCTGTTCTGGGTCCTCTTCTATTTGTGATTTTTGTAAATGATTTGGATGAAGGAGTGAAAGGGTGGATTAGTAAGTTCGTGGGCGATATGAAGGTGGTTCGAGTTGTGGACAGTGCAGAGGGCTGTTCTAGGTTACAAAGGGGTATTGATAGGATGCAGAGCTGGGCTGAGAAGTGGCAGATGGAGTTTAACCCTGAAAAGTGTGAGGTGATTCATTTTGGAAGGACAAACTTGAAAGCAGAATCCAGGGTTAATGGAAAGATTCTTGGCAGTGTGGAGGAGCAGAGGGATCTTGGGGTTCGTGTGCACAGTTCCCTGAAAGCTGCCACCCAAGTGGATAGAGTTAAGAAGCCGTATGGTGTGTTAGCTTTCATTACTAGAGGGATTGAGTTCAAGAGCCGTGAAGTTATGCTCCAGCTATACAAAAGCCTGGTTCGGCCACATCTGGAGTATTGTGTCCAGTTCTGGTCACCTCATTACAGGAAAGATGTGGAAGTGCTGGAAAAGGTGCAGAGGAGATTTACCAGGATGTTGCCTGGAACAGAGGGAAGGTCTTACGAGGAAAGGTTGAGAGGGCTAGGGCTTTTCTCTTTAGAACGATGAAGGATGAAAGGTGACTTGATAGAGGTGTACAAAATAATCAGAGGTATAGATAGAGTAGACAGCCAGAGACTTTTTCCTAGGGTGGAGGTAGCTATTACGAGGGGACATAGTTTTAAAGTGAGTGGAGGTAGATATAGGGGAGACGTCAGAGGTAGGTTCTTTACTCAGAGTGGTAGGGGCGTGGAATGCATTGCCAGAGAGGGTAGTGGAGTCGGCCTCATTAGAGGCATTTAAGCGGCTATTAGATAAGCATATGGATGATAGTATAAGGTAGGGGTGGAGGTTAGATAGACATTCGGTTTAGGGTAAAAGTTCGGCACAACATCGTGGGCCGAAGGGCCTGTACTGTGCTGTACTGTTCTATGTTCTATGTTCTATCTCACTGAACACGTGGGACTATCTTTCAAAGCCTGCCATCTTGCAACATTAACTCAAGAAGAGAGTTTTCTTCTGGCAAAGCTGTCTACTGCCCCATTATGGTGAGAGGTCAGGCTTTATACTAAATGGAGTTCCCTGTTGTTAAATTTGGGATTTATTTTTAATATTAGCTGTGCTCTTGAGTAAGATCATTTCCAGCATCTAGACCTTCAGTCATGAGTTTTCCTTTCTTATGTTTGTCTACTCAAGGCAAGAATTCGCATGGTCATCGCTTATCTCTTTTCTCAGTTATGTTTGTGGACTTCTGGAAAGCCTGGAGGCTCATTGGTTCTTGGGTCAGCCAATGTCGATGAGAGGTGAGCTCATCTGTCTGTTTTGTTGCAGTTGTCAATTTTGTCGAAATGACTCACTTGCTGTAAGTTTGTACCTTTTTATAAGATGACCAGCAGCACACCGTGTATCTGAATGTGAACTCCCTATAAATTTGGGACCAGTCTCATAAGAAGTCAACATGTCCCTCAGTTTGTAAAATGCTGCAGCAAGTTACAAGTAAGATTACAGGAGCATTTATCCAACAGTACTTGTGTAGGACCTTTTAACCCTATAAAACTGTGGATGTTGGAAACCAGTCCATCACACAAGCCAACCTTTCTTCCATTGATTCCATCTATTCTTCTCACTGCCTTGGAAAGGCAGCCAACATAGTCATCATATGTAATCAGTTATCCCATTAACAATTGTGATGCCAACAAGCAACTCATTGCCCTACAGTTGTCCCAGACTATTCCCTCCTGTTGGCCCTACACAAGAGCCCCTGAGCTGGATAGGCCATCCACCTGGAGAGTCTACGTGAGAGATGTCCAAGGATCTAAGTGGATTCTGCAACTGTACCATCACTAAGGATTTACCTTACATCGCTTGTCTATTGATAGGGTGTATTCTGGATTTTTTACAGCCTACAGATAAGTCCGTTTTTGTGCAGCACTGCCCTGCACTTGACCCCCTCCCACAATAATCAGCCTTTTTTTTTTTGTTTGGGCAGATCAGTATTTATTAGCCCCCTGCACTTTTTGGTATTGTCAGGCTAGATTTTA